CATGAGCTGGTTTCAGATCACCTGAAATGTCCTGGTCAAGCCATCAAAACTGTTTCATTTTCGAAGACTTAACCGGGGCTTTCTGGTGTCTCAAAATGATAGATTTGCTACCACTTTCGTAGCCATTTGCGGTGCAGGAAAATGATAAATTTTGTGTAGCCTGAAATGAACCTGAAATGACTCAATATGGCTACATTTCAGTACAGCAAAGAGTTCATGTTTCAGGAGACTTTGTGGCGCATTTCAGGACATCTGAAAGAACATATGTAGAAATCATTTCCGCCTCATGTTTGCAATGAGGAAAGGTCCGGGCAAGGAAAACTTTTGATGGTCCTGAAATTGCCATTTCTGATGGATTTTGAAGCTATTTTATGAGCTAGAAGATTCGAATCAGCTCCTCCGCTGAGGTGCGACTTTTCGAGTCAAAGGTTCAGAGTGATAGCAGGGCTATGAGAATACCGCATAAACGGCCGCCGTCGCGAGGCGACGACGGCCTAATTCGATTCCGCAGCGAGCGGGACGCTTTCCGTGTATGGCGCCCGATTAACTACATGCAACGTGTACGAAGATACTGAGCATAACGAGTAATACAAATACAGTCGAGAAAACAAAGACAAGCACAGGACAAAAGGAGACCGGCAGAGACGCAAGAACTGCAGACTGTTCGAGCCAACGATACAGAAAATGCAGAAATGCAAGAAACATAGGGCGGGAACGGGAGGGAAAGCGCAAGAAATGGACTCGAAGCCTAACGCAGATGGAGGTCAGACCTGGCGAGGTGTGACAGAAATGCTAGCATGAACCTAACGCAGATGGAGGTCAGACGGGACGAGGCGTGCAGCCCCTGTCCCTCGCGGCTGCACCTATATACCCATCTGCGGTCAGGAGGATCCCAGTTAGGTACGCCCACTGCTGACAAAGCATCGGCGACGTACCTAACACTCCTGAGCAGGTCCGTGTTCGTCCGCTGTTGGACTCATCCTGCTGCGAGCAGGGGAACGGAGGCCGCGGGCCTCTGGGTGCGGCGAAGAGCGCTTCGAGTCCGCGTGCGCGCGTCGCTCATTCGACTTGTGTAAACTGCCTTGAAACTCGACGAATCAGCTCCTCCGCTGAGGTGCGACTTTTCGAGTCAAAGGTTCAGAGTGATAGCAGGGCTATGAGAATACCGCATAAACGGCCGCCGTCGCGAGGCGACGACGGCCTAATTCAATTCCGCAGCGAGCGGGATGCTTTCCGTGTATGGCGCCTGGTATAAGTGTGTAGATGATGTAGGACTAGGAGGAGGGGGGCTGGTGGTGAGACAAAATGCCATACATGGGTATGCGGAAATGCAGCAGAGCCTGCATGAGAACTGGATGGGACCGGATATATATCCGGAAAGCTTCTGAGGACCAGCGGCCGAGTGCCTGGATGCGGTCGTCAGGCCAGCCAATGCTCGCAAAAAACGTCGCGCCGCCGGCGCGCAAAGAATGGCCGGAGATGTTCTGATCTGGAATCGCGCGATGGAGCCAAGAAATAAACCAGCTTCGCGTGGGCACCTGACCATCCTCAGTGAGCCAGAGCGCAGGCTGCAGCGGAAACAAGCCGTCGCGGCTGGAAAGATAGTCGCGAAAAACTGTCGAGGGGGCGATGCCGTCAGGGGCAAAGGTGTCGGAAATGAGGATACTCGAACCAGCGAAAAGGCGGTCAGCCTTGTGGCTTGGTAGCGTGTACCCATATGAGTCACTGGTGGGAGTAACTGAAACCCGAGAGATGACCTTGCGCCAAGATCGGAGGTCGCTGTCGTTTGGCCAGACGAGCTCACCGAGGCGATGCAGCGTGAAGAAACCTGAGAGCGCCAGAGCACGGAAAAGCCGGTTGTTGTGCGAGTCAGGCGGAAAATGCTGCAGGAGAGTGAGCAAATGATGGGGCTCAAGCGCAGCCTTGTGGTTCGCGGGCGTGCTGAACATGCGTTTACACCCAGCAAGCGTGCGAGTCACGAGGTGATGACGGCGAAGCGTGCGAACCTCTGGATATAGTGGCTCCAGCTGGTTGCAAATACCCGATAGATAGGAATCGACGGAGGAAGGCTGAATGTGATGGCACATGTAGACTGTGTAGAAAGACAAGGTGTCGACGGAGGGAACGATAGGGAAGTTGTGCGCCTTGCAGAAGGTAAGATAAGACTGCAAGTGGGATGTGTAGGACTTAGTGGTGGAGTTGTCAAGCACAAAACCAAGGGCAACCGCCCGTGCTTGCACTAGGCGGTCCAGCGACCAAGGCTCCCGTACTGGTTGCCTGGCCGTACGCAACTCCGTGGTCATTTTTCGGCTGCCCCCGACTTAAGCTGTGGGGGTCGAAAGGGGAGCACCCGCAGAGAGGAAGCGTATGAGTGGGCCACCGGGAGCATGCCGCGAGATAACGCATCAGCAACGACGTTCTCGGACCCGGGGATGTGCCACACGCGAAGATCGATGCCTGATGCGATTAAGGTAGCAGACGCGGCATGCAAAATGCTGTTGTAGGGTGCTGACGCCCGGAAACAGTCGAATATCTGTACGGTGTTCAAGTTATCGGTGTAGATGGCGAGGCGCCGCGGACAGTGATGCAAAGCAGCAGCCCACTGAAGGGCGGCCAGCACACAGAGCGACTCGTACCAGAAGATTGTATCCTCCACCGCATCAGGCGAGACCGGCAGCGCAGCCATGAAGCCCTCTTGACGAGCGGGAGACCAGAAACCGAGACCAGTCAGGCAAGCGTCGCACAGCACTTCCAACTCAGCCTCATGGGGCTTCCACGCCCTAGAACGCAAGATATGAACGCCACCGTACTCCTCGAACATATCAGCAACCCATAGCAAGTCGGTGATGACTGCCTTATTGAGGTACAAGGGCCGTGCAGGGTGCTGCTTCCCACGCATCTTCTCGTATGATGAGGCGAGAGCCGGGCGGAGAAGTGGCTGAACGTTCAGGCCCCAGTTGATCCACCCAAGGAGACGCTGCCATCGGCGCAGCGGACGCTTGCGCGCAGGGGCGTCGAGCACAAATTCACGGATAGAGTGGACCAGATCCAGTCGTGCGTCGTCCGGGAGAGCGACAGTCATAGCATCAGAGTCGACATGAAAACCAATGATAGTGAGGGAACATCCGAAAACCTGCTTTGGCTGCTTGTGCGGGATCCCCAGCGCATCCCAAAGACGAAGGAGCCTGACCTGCTTAGAAGGGAAGAATGCCTGATATGGCTCGTATCGCACAAGGTCAGGGTTTGAATCCTCAGAGAAATTGTCATCCATATATGCAAGCATGTTGTCGATCCCGTCAATGTGGATAGCAATCCAGAGCACGAGGCTCATGAACTACACCACAAATCGGGGGAGCCCTGGCTCCCAAAGCAGCAGCATCGGTCAATGCGACAGTCGCCATCAATACGGACCACCTGTTTCAGCTGCCAGAGCGGGTGCATGGGCAGGAGACGATAGGCATCCGCCACATCAGATTTGAAGAGCCAGACAGGAGCGGTGCCCAGGGTGCGTCGTAAGTGCAATAGATTGGTTGCTCGAGATCAAGCACGTT